TTCACATGTACAGCGGTTGAAACATCTGTATCCTAAATGGAAACTAATAGATACAATGTTTCAACCGCTGTACATGTGAAGGAACTGTCTTAGAAATGTCAGAAATAGCGGAGCTCTCTGCAGGGACACTTTTGCCGGCTGATCGGGAAAAATTTCGATTCGCGCACCCGAAGTAGGCAAAATTTCGGATTCGCCGCGAATCGAAAATTTTCTGAAATTCGTATCGAATTCCGGTTCGCCTGGTTCGATTCGCTCATCTCTAATTATAAATTCCATTCCAGTCTTTGCAGATGACACCAAGCTGTGCCATGGAATAACATTCTTCAAGGATGTCTTCAATTTACAAGCCAACCTCAATGCTCTGTGTAATTGGGCAACTATGTGGCCAATGAGGTTTAATGTTGATACATGTAAGGTTATGCGCTTGGGGGCTACGAATATGCATGCATCATACATACTATCGGGGGGTACAACTGGGGGAATCAATGTTGGAGGAGGATCTGGGGGTTCTGGTAGACCACATGCTTAATAATGACATGCAATGCCAAGCTGAGTTTTCTAAAGCGAGCAAAAATCCTCTCCTGTATTAGGAGAGGTATAGACTCCAGAGAGAGAGATATAATTTCCCCTGGTAGAAATCATTTAGTAAGACCTCATCTGGAATATGCAATTCAGTTTTGGGCACCAATTCACAAAAAGAACATTGGGGAACTGGAGAAAGTACAGAGAGAGGGGCAGCCAAACTGATGAGGCATGGAGGAACTGAACTGAATTCTATGAGGAAAGATTAGAGGAACTGAATTTATTCTCTCTTGAGGAGATTATGGGGGGATATGATCACCATGTATAATACATAAGGGGGGATATGATCTCATGTATAATACACATAAAGGGGGGATATGATCTCCATGTATAATACATAAGGGGGGGATATGATCTCCATGTATAATACATAAGGGGGATATGATCTCCATGTATAATACATAAGGGGGGGATATGATCTCCATGTATAATACATAAGGGGGATATGATCTCCATGTATAATACATAAGGGGGGATATGATCACCATGTATAATACATATAAGGGGGGATATGATCTCCATGTATAATATATAAGGGGGGATATGATCTCCATGTATAATACATAAGGGGGATATGATCACCATGTATAATACATAAGGGGGATATGATCTCCATGTATAATACATAAGGGGGGGATATGATCTCCATGTATAATACATAATTGGATATGATCACCATGTATAATACATAAGGGGGGATATGATCTCCATGTATAATACATAAGGGGGGGATATGATCTCTCATGTATAATACATAAGGGGGGATAAGATCTCCATGTATAATACATAAGGGGGGACATGATCTCCATGTATAATACATAAGGGGGGATATGATCTCCATGTATAATACATAAGGGGGGATATGATCTCCATGTATAATACGTAAGGGGGGATATGATCTCCATGTATAATACATAAGGGGGGGATATGATCTCCATGTATAATACATAAGGGGGGGATATGATCTCTATGTATAAATACATCAGTGGGCTATATAGTGAACTCGGTGTAGAGCTATTCTCCCTGAGGTCATCACAGAGGATAAGGGGGCACTCTTTACATCTGAAGGAAAATAAATTTAATCTCCAAACACAGAAAGGTTTCTTCAAAGTAAGAGCTGTTAAAATGTGGACTAGACTCCCTCAAGAGTTGGTTCAGGCCAGCTCAGTGGATTGCTTCAAAAAAGGCCTGGATTCTTTTTTAGATGCACAGAATATAACTGGACACTAACATTTGTACGTAAAGTTGATCCAGGGAATATCCGATTGCCTCTCGGGGATGAGGAAGGAATTTTTTTCCCAGCAAGAGCAAATTGGATCATGCTTTGCTAGGTTTTTTTAACCTTTTTTGTTAACCTCTTTTTTTTTCTATGGTTGAACTGGATGGACTTTTGTCTTTTTTTCAGCCAGACTAACTATGTACCTATGTAAAAAGAGATAAAAGCATTGTTGGGGGGAGGGAGGGGACTGTAATCTCTGTAACCAGAAATGTTTACACTTACACATTATTAGGCATGGGTGCAATTAACATAAAAACATATCTAATACTAGATCCACGTTAAGAAATTTTGGAAGACCATAAGGCTTGCTTTGCTTCTATCATCAATTTTTTTCGAGAACTTTTATTCATTTTTCAGATGGAACAAAGACATATGAAGTCACTCGATCCTGGGTTCTTGTAAGCAAGTGTAATATCACTGGTTCCATGACTGTGGCCAGCACCACTTAATGGGTGTAAGTTGCTGTGATGGAGATGTCTGTACCCCATCAATAGAAAATAGTAAGTCAATCTTCCCTTCCTACTCAGTTTTCATGGTATATCCACTACAGAACAAAGATTTTTCCTTTGATATTGCATGTTATGAACCACTTGAGTTCCAAGTACTGGCTACATCTCCACTGACATCTTGTAGACATCCCATGAAAAAAAAAAACTTTTTTTACAAACTCCAAGTGGGCTTTCATGTGTTTTGCACTGAAGAGATGCTTCCATCTAGCTACTCTGCCATAAAGCCCAGATCAGTGGAGGGCTGTAGTGATGGTTGTCCTTCTGGAACTTAGTCCCATCTCCACACAGGATCTCTGGAGCTCAGTCAGAGTGACCATCAGGTTCTTGGTCACCTCTCTTACTAAGGCCCTTCTCCCCCAATTGCTCCCGGTTTGACCCAGTGACCAGCTCTTGGAAGAGTCCTGGTTGTGCCAAACCTCTTTCGTTTGAGAATAATGGAGGCTACTGTGCTCTTGGGAACCTTCAGTGGAGCAGGAACATTTTTAGTAGCGTTCCTCAGATCTGGACTGTGCAAAATCTTGTCTATGAGCTCTGCAGGCAGTTCCTTTGACCTTGTGGCTTTTGCTCTGATACAGTATGCATTGTCAGCTGTGAGGTCTTTTATAGAGAGGTGTGTGCCTTTCCAAATCATTCCCAATCAATTTAATTTACCACAAGTGAACTCCAATCAAGGCGTAGAAACATCTCAGTAACGATCCAGAGAAATAGAAGGCTAAATTTCAAGCGTTGTTGCAATGGGTATGAATATTTATGCCAATGTGATATTTCAGTTTTTCCTTTTTCAGACATTTGCAAACATTTATGAAATTCTGTTTTCACTTTGTCATTATGGGGATACTGAGTGTAGATTAACCACTTGCCGACCAGCCACAGTACATTTACTGCGGCAGGTCGGCACCGGTGTGCAAAATCACGTATATGTATATATGATTTAGCATTTCGGGTAGGGGGCACGTGCAATGCGCGTGACCTCCCTACCCGCACCACCGATCGTGGCCGTGGGTGTCAATCACCAGGTCCTGGCCAGTGATTACCTGCCGGAGCCCGGCGATTACTGACAAACACTGAAGTTGAGGAAGACTGCATTGTTTTCAATGCAGCTCTCCTCCCTCTCAGTTTGAGCACATTGATCTGGATCGCTGAGCGCAGCTTTCTGGATCAGTGTGCTTACACTCCCCGCCCACTAGTGAAACGCTCCACTCACACAGTTAACCCTTTGGTTGTCTTCAAATGTTAACCCCTTTCTCCCCAGTACAATTAGTACATTGTCAGTGGGTTTTTTTTTGCACTGATCTCTGTATTGGTGTCACTGGGGATGTCAGTGACCCCAAGTCAGTTCCTCCACAGTGTCAGAATGTCCACCACAGTCCCGTCATAAGTTGCTGATTGCCACCATAAGTCGCTGATCGCCGCCATTATTAGTATTATAAAAAAAATTATATACACCGCCATTTGTAGACACTATAACTTTCACGTAAACCAATTAATTTACACGTATTGAGGGTTATTTTAGCAAAGACATGTTGCAGAATGCATTTTGGCCTAAATTTATGACGAAATTTGATTTTTAAATTTTTTTACTGGACATGTTTTATAGCAAAAAGTCCAAAATATTGTTTTTTTCTCAAAATTGTCGGTCCTTTTTTTTTTAAACCACAAAAAATCAAAAATGCACAGGTGATCAAATACCACCGAAAGAAAGCTCAATTCATGGGAAAAAAAGACACAAATTTCATTTGAGTTCAGCATTGCATGACCGCGCAATTGTCAGTTAAAGCCCTGTGCCATCGGGGGAACCTGAGAATGCAGCCGGTGTTTCCACCAGCTGACCATAGTGCTGATTGAAGACCAGAATGGTGCCAATCATCTCTATAGTCTAGGAAATCATAAGCTACAAGCATTTCATCACTTCAGCTTTGCAGCTGTCAAATGGCGCTGCAAAATACTTACTATGCTTCTTTTTAAATTTCTTGAGGTGTCTACTTTCCAAAAATGGGTCATTTGTGGGGGTTTGGTGCTATCCTGGCATTTCAGGGCCTCCAAAAATGTGATAGGTAGTGAGGAAGTGAAATGAGGAACTTAAGCACCTTCAGGCTTTCAAAGTGGTCATTGGATTTCAGGCTCCTGAATATGGCTAGGCTCCCAAAAAGTCTCACACATGTGGTATCCCCATACTCGGTAGAAGTAGCAGAATGTATTTTGGGGTGTAATTTCACAGATACCCATGGCTTGTGAGAGAAATATATCATTTAAATGGCAACTTTGTGTAAAAAAAACAAAAATGTTTGTCATTTTCCAGAAACTTGTGGAAAAAAATAAATCTTCCATGGACTCAATATGCGTCTCAGCAGATATCAGACCCTTTCCAAAAAGGGGTCATCTGGGTGTGTTTGTACTATCCTGGTATTTTAGAACCTTAAGAAATGTGATGAGAAATCAGAAAGGAAAAGCTTTGTAAATTCCATTAACTATACCATAGTTTGTAGATTCTATAACTTTCATACAAAGCAATCAATATACACTTATTGGGATTTTTTTAACCAAAAACATGTAGCAGAATACATTTTGGCCTAAATTTATGACACAATTTTATTTTATTTTTTATATTTTTTATGACAGAAATTAGAAACTTTTTTTGTTTATAACGCCAAAAATAAAAAGCACACAGGTGAACAAATACCACCAAAAGAAAGCTCTATTTGTGTGAAAAAAGGACATACATTTCATTTATGTACCCTATTGCATGACCGCGCAATTGTCAGTTAAACTAGTGCAGCGCTTTATAGCAAAAAAATGGCGTAAATTGCAGTATCTATACCATAATTTGTGGACACTATAACTTTCACACAAAGCAATCAAAATACACTTATTTTTTTTTACCAAAAACATGGAGCAGAATACATTTTGGCATACATTTATAACTAACTTTGAGTTTACTATATATTTTTTATAGCCAAAAATTTTCAGTCTTTTTTTTGTTTGCGCAAAAAATAAAAAGCGCACAGGTGATCAAATACCACCGAATACCACCGAAAGAAAGCTCTATTTGTGTGAAACAAAAGAAGGTAAATTTTCTTGGATTACAGCATTGCATGACAGCGCAATTATCAGTTGAATTAGTGCAGCACCAAGTAGCAAAAAGAGGCCTGGTCATTAAGGGGGGTAAATCCTCTGGAGGGCAAGTGGTTAAAGATAATGGACCTCTGGATACCCCACATGAATGAGTAAGGGGTGCATAGTTCACTCATTAACAAAAACATGTAACCTAGAAATAAACACCCAAACGATTGATAAGTCCGTTATTAAAAAAAATAATAATCCTCAATCTTACCTTATTTTAATGGAGGCCAATAGGCCTTATTACCTAATGGGATCTCAATAAAGCTGTTAATCTTATTTACACCGCTGTTGGTTCCCTTTTTAAACTTCTTTTTTAGGGGGTCCTATTGATCTCCTAGTTATTTTTGGTTCTAGTTTGAGGACCCCACCCTACTGTGTTAAAGGTGAATCAGTGATTTAATCAGCAATTTTGAGATCTGGTTTCCCACTTAAGGAGAAGTAATTTTGTTGCAATTTGTTTTTACCATATTATCTAAGGGGTGCATAGTTCACTCATTAACAAAAACACGTAGCCTAGAAATAAACACCCAAATGATTGATAAGTCCATTATTAAAAAAATAACAATCCCCAAAAAATCCAACAGACTCAGCATACAGGAGTGATCCCGATGCCATCCTCACCAAATGACAGCTCCCTGACAGCTAAATAAACAAATGGGTGGGGGAAGTGGTGACATTATTGAATAAACATGTACATTGCCATATCTGGTAAATGTTCTGGCCCAAATAAGACCAATGGACATATGTGGGCAGTGATATTACCCCTATAGCCTCACTTTTCTGGTCAGGGATTCCTGATCATATAAGTCAATGGTGCCAGTGACATCAGTGGTAGCTAAAGATGGTGCCAGCAGCCAACCCTTTCCTTAGCAGACATTGACAGTGGAAAGTGGTGAATGGTATCAGAAAACAAACGAAACAGAAGATACAAATTACCTTTGGCCTTCAAAATAATTGCAATCCTTCACAACACACTTTTGGCAACATTCATAAAGCTTCTGGAAACTGTCAGCAAAGGCCTCTTTGGGAATTGACACACACATTCTTGGAACGCCACCACGTCCGCAAACCATTCTCCATTCATGGTACTCTTCAGGTGGGAAAACAGAAAGAAAAGTGCAGGCGAGAGATCAGGGGAGTATGGTGGATGATCGAGAACAGCGTACATGAATGAACAGCGTTATCGTGCAGCAATATCCACTGTCTACTCCTGTGCAACTCTGGCCAAACATGGAGGATGCGTCATAGCAACCATTTCAAAAACTTGTTGGCATTCACAGTTTGACCTGCAAAAAACGAATTCCTTGTGGATGATTCTATCATTATCGAAGAAGGCGATCAACATTGTCTTGACCTTGGAATTTTGCAGGCGACTCTTTTTGGACCACGAATAAGATAGTGAACACCATTCCATTGATTGCTGATTGGATTTCGTATCAAACTGGTAGCACCAGGTCTCATCCCTTGTGATAATGGTTCACAGAAAAGATGGATTCTGGTCACACATGGTAATGAAATCTCCAAAGGTTCCCATCCGTTTTGCTTTCTGTTCATTTGTCAACTGGTGTGGCACACACTGGGAACAGATCTTCTGCTTACCCAAATCTTCGTTGACGATGGTGCACACCGTGTCCTTGCTAATGCCCAATTCCTCCGGCATCATTCATAGAGTCAGTCACCGATAGGGCTCTGCTTGTCGGCAACCGACCCAATTGTGGCTCACTCTCAGTCGTTTTCGTTTCAACCAGTCGTAAACACATTTTCTGCTCACAGCTTCCATCCCGTACACTTGTACCAACAAGTACCAACAAATGTCTCCATTTTCCCCAATTTGTTGCAGAACTTGATGTTCACTCATTGCTCCATTGCACTGTGACCCTACCTCTCACACTGACTGTGTTCAACTGCCTGCAGCGGCTTTACCCTGATGGTCAAGTGTACTCCACGCTAGGTGGTGCTTCTTGACGTGTTTTTGGATTGCCATGTGCATTTCCATGAACCTGGCCCATGTTGCTATTGAGATATTAGACCATTCACCAAACTTTTTTAGATGTACCTTGTATATACTGTACAGGCGGTAGAAATATCACTTCTAAATTTGATATTTTGTTCCCAGAGAACAGGGGTGTAAATGTGCAAATAATAGGTTCAGACCAAACAGTTGAACTTATCCCCAATCATCAGCTTAAGAAAACTATAGCAGCCACCACATCTCAGGACTAATAGCTGCAATTTATTACATTTTTGTTCTTAGATACAATGCTAGAAAACCCTTAAAATACTGGCTGTGAGGCTACGTTGGCATACTTTATGTATACTCTAGGAAGCCTTGGGTGCTATTCCAGCTGGATAAATCAGGTTCCATGTCTTCTTTATAAAAAAAATAAATAAAGCATACGCCATTTTTTTCCCTAAAAAAAAAAAATTCTCACTACCTACTAAATAGAACTCAAAGTTCTTGTCTTTTATGTGGTTTTGTTGCATATTTCCAAGCACTAAACTATGACTTTGCTAGAAAGGATACACTTTGTTTCCTCATACCGTTGGTAATATCCACACCCTCATAATTTCTTCTTAAATACGTTCATCAGTCACCTCCAGCAATAGTGACGGAGGAGACACCGGCACAGCACAGATTGGGTGGAGGATGGACGGTCTGCTGAGCTTTCTCTGCCTGCTTTGTGTCCTCATCACACCAGGTAAGTCTGATCTCAGCAGGTGATAGCTTTGGAACTATGTCTATCTCTGTGGACTGAGCTAGTCCAATTCCCCCCCCCATGTTATATAGTCGATAAGAGCAGGTGCGGACTGACAACTCATGGGGCCCCCGTGCAATAGGGGATCATGGGGCCCCTGTGTCCTTTCCCAAACTCAGAAAAAACCTATGAAAAAGGTTCCAGGGGCATCTCATGGGGCCCCCTACTGACCCCGGGCCCTCGGGCAGTGCCCGAATTTCCAAATGGTCAGTCCACCCCTGGATAAGAGTTAAATGTTACTGCTCGGATCGCCAGGCAATATATTATATCTTTATCCTTGGGTTTAACCACTTGCTCTTCAAAGGATTTACCCCCCTTCCTGACCAGGCCATTTGTTTGCAAAACAGCGCTGCGTTACTTTAACTGACAATTGCACGGTCATGCAATGCTGCACCCAAATCAAATTTATGTCCTTTTTCAAAAAAAGACCGACAATTTTGAAAAAAAAAAAAACAAAATATTTTTGACTTTTTGCTATAAAACATGTCCAGTAAAATATATTTAAAAATCGAATTTCTTCATAAATTTAGGCCAAAATGTATTCTACATTTGCAAAAAACAATGCCAATACGTGTAAATGAATTGGTTTACGTGAAAGTCATAGCGTCTACAAACGGCGGTTTATATACAGGCGTAACTCGGTTTAGGAATGCCTCGGTTAACATAATTTTTGGTTTACGAATGAAAATCTATTGAAAATAATGGCTCGGTTAACAAATTTTTTTTTGCAATACGAACGGATTAATTGGTTTTCAATGCATTTGAAAATTTTTTTTTTTAATCATGTCCCTGTACAGTATTTATGCCTTTAAAGTGCACTTTATAAAGAGTTTTGAACAGATAAGACTTTTTTTTTACTTTTTTCTGACCTCCGGAACGGATTAATTGGTTTACAATGCATTCCAATGGGAAACTGCATTTTGGGTTGCCCTGTAGAAGTAGTTCTGCTACAGGGCGATCAGGAAGTGTTTAATGGTTATCCTCCAGAGAGATTCAAAATGCACAACAATGACACGCTGTCAAAGGATTTAACAGCAGTGCACGCTTGTTTCCTAACTCACGCCATGCTCTCTCTCTCTCATTAGCTGGTATGATAAAGCTGCACTCCTTCTCCCATCCACGTTGGGGACACTCAGGGCTGCTGTTGGGCCCCATACAGAAAATCTGACAGGGCCCCCTTCCCCAACAAAAAAAAAAACACAGTTTACTATGCTTCAGTTATGAAAGAACACAGTATGTGATTGGTACTGATCACTCCTTGTGTTCATTCAGGAAAGGAAGGGGCTGGTAACTGGACTCTTTCTCCATTCCCCATCCTGAAGGATCCTATTGCAGCTTGCAGTGTGCTTGCAGCTGCTGGTGGAAAGGAAAGGGCTGGTAACTGGGTACTTCCTCCATTTTTCATCCTGAAGGATCCTATTGCAGCTTGCAGCTGCTGGTGGGAAGGAGAGAAGGGAAGCCAACAGCATTGCAAGGGTGAGGGGCCAAGAAAGCAGGGGAAACGTATTTTGCACAGGGAGGGTGATGGGTGTGGCCTGGGCTCCCCCTTCCCCAACAGAAAAAACACAGTTTACTATGCTTCAGTTATGAAAGAACGCAGTATGTGATGGGTACTGATCACTCCTTGTGTTCATTTAGGAAAGGAAGGGGCTGGTAACTGGGTACTTCCTCCATTTTTCATCCTGAAGGATCCTATTGCAGCTTGCAGATGCTGGTGGGAAGGAGAGAAGGGAAGTCAACAGCATTGCAAGGGTGAGGGGCCAAGGCAGCAGGGGAAAGGTATTGTGCACAGGGAGGGTGATGGGTGTGGCCTGGGCCCCGTAGAGAAGGACTGGTGGTACCCCCCTATCCAAGGCCCTGGGGCACTATACTCAGTAAGGCACCGCCAGCAACAAGATGGAGTGGCAACGTGACCTCAAGCAATTAAGTTCTGTCCAACATCGTTTCGCAGGATCACGCGTCCTCAGGGACCTTTTGCACTATTTTTATGCAAGGAGCAAGATTATTGGTTGGATTTATGTATAATTCTTCACAAATTATCACAGAGTGATAAATGTTGGGCTAAATAAATACTACTACAGAGTAGTATTTATTTAGCCCAACATTTATGGTGGACCTAAATGATTCACATAATATGAATTGAGCGCATAAAGTTAATAATTCATATTGTGTTGCGCTCCCGGTGAGAATCTCTATTGTGTTAGTAATTCTATTTACCCATGGTAAACATATATATAATCAGGTGATGTACAAAAATATAAAAATAAAAATATATATAGTGTTGAAAAAAAATATACATATATGATCCACTAATATGAAAAATATATAAATGTGAAAATAATATCCCCAAAGAAATACGTGATATGATGATGTGTACTTAAAA